ATGTATAGAGGAAAGGAGCTGCATTCATAAAGACATTTGATAGTGGTATTATTATGACTCGACAACATCTGTGAGTACCATTCAAGGCATTGAGTGCCTACCACTTAAATCTTCAATGGGTCATTATTTTTAACATCAACAGCGACAGATCAAGACAGACAGATTCTAATCAAAGGCATAGGCATCGGCACGTTTTGAATATCGTTTGCATGCCCTATTGTTCCTCTATCGAGCTTCATGTTCCGGAAAGCATCATTCAATGTTTTCAGCAAAGGAGTGTGCTGTTTGCCGTTCATCACATTCCATCATAAAAAGGAGGGGGCCCGGCATAGGCCGGGCGTCCGACTGTCTATATATAGACCGGTAATTTTGTGTGTCTGTTTGTATACCCCTTTGTGCGTCCTTCCAAAAGTCACGTAGGCACGACGAAGAGTGTGCATGTCACACGAGCGCGGTGAGCAAACAGTTATGAAATGGGAAGTCTGTCGACACTGTTTAAATTGGGTGCGCTTCGTTGCGCTTGTCCGTCGAAACTAGGTCACGCCGCAGCCGTCGCACGCGGCGAGTCGGCCCGTGATATTTGACAGACGTCGCAATTGTCACTGGGGCATACGCTTTGCGTTTGGTCCACGGCAGTCAGTTCAAAAAGAAGATAACACAGACAAATGCAAATCATTTGCTCCAATAACACTTGGTGGTACTGTAATGTCATCTCGAGACCTCAGTGTGATCGCGTGCGAGTGGGCGGGGTGACCTACTTTTGACGGACACGCGCAACGGACGTTCTCCGTTTAAATTGGTCCTCTAACAAGTCGTAGGTAAGCGGTAAAGGGCATGTGGTGCGCGCATTAGCGTGCGTAGCCCAACTGGTAAGTGATAAAGGACTATTCCAGCCAATCTTATTTTCAATAGATAAAATATGTTTCCGATATCTTTAGCAAATGTACCACTGTTTCTCCTTTGGTGCATAATTTGCAAGTAGCTTGCAAGGCCTCCGTCAGCTTTGTTTCGTCAGGGCTGGTCGACTTTATGAAGATCCGATCAGAATTTCTTAGTTATGTCGATTTATTAAAAATTTATTTTCAGTGTTCAACATCCGACTCAAAGAATCTGGCTGAAGCATTTATCGCGGCTGATCTAGTGAAGCTGAACGATCCACATAAGAAACTTAACAGACGTGAGCGGAGAGCCCTTCAGAGAATAATGATCGCTGCTGAAGTATGGCTTTATCGCTGTTTCGAATCATCCCTTATTTGATCATCAGATTCCTAGCACTTTTGCCGGAAACTGACAACAGTTTTTGAAGGGTGTCCACAAGCAAGATCCTGTCTCACAATCGACATTTGGCGACCCTAATGCAGAGTTAAAATGTGCTCAATCTGTGCAGAATGATACTGTTAGAATAAGAAATGAGAAACATGAAGTCTTTGAGGTATATTTTTTGAGATTTGCTAAAGCGTCGTCTTTCAAATGATAACAGTTTTAGCTTAAGGGGTCAGAGAGAGCTATCAGTTTTGGAAAGCGTTCCGCGGTCACAGATGGAGGTGATCAAGAATTATTGTCAAAGCTACCGAAAGTTCAGGTAAAAACAAACAGGCAATTTGTCGTTTTCCTGGGTATTGAAATTTGAGAATAGCTTTTGATGGGATTATAAAGGTTCTCGCAACATTTACCTCAAAAAATTGGAATCATCCCGCTTAATCCTGCTCGTTTTCATGTTCCCATTCAAAGCAGGAAAACTCGATTTCTCACTATCAAGAATAAAAAGTCATCTCGCAGTTGTTCCACTATTCAGTGTCCGTCGCTGAAATTGATCAACTGCAAATCCGAGTTATGATCTTCACGAAAAAAACGCAGACTGTACTTTGAAGATGTTTGCGATGAGGTCATTGCTGTATTAGGATCGGGTACTACCGAAGGTATTGCCCGTAATTGGTACAAAAGTTTATTAATGATGCTGACAATTTCTACATCTTGAACATCAGTTACTCTCTCTTCTATGAGGAAGCTCTTGAGGACAAACTCGAAAACTCGATTGACATCTAGATTAAACTACTCGCGCATTGAGAACAACACTCATACACAGACTGGGCGCAATCTGTTGTCATCTGAACTTGTTGCGCTTTCGAAGGGTGCGCAACTCTGTCGCATTCCATTTGAGAATAGTAGGGCATCAATCTAATTAAGGTTTATGTTGACTGCCATACGTTCCAGACAACGTTAGGGTTAAAGGCACAGTTCACGATAATTCTGAGGTACCTCCTTTTATTCAAAAAGCGGAAGTATAGGCTGGAAGTAGTTCATTGGTATCGAAGAAAGCGAGAAAATTCGTCAATTTCGAGAAGAATAAGGCTCCTCAAAAGTAGGGGAAATAATGGTCGGACGAGATTACGCGGAGGACGAGGACGTGACGGAAATGACATGTGAGGGTTATTCAGATGAAATTTCAGTTGTTGCACAAAGTGCCGACTACGCCAAGCCCAATATGTACAGAATTTCCTTTCACTGTCGCAGTGGATCATGGCAAGTTGTTTGAGCTTCCTACTGGGTTTCCTTGTGAACGGTGCAGCCTCCACAATGCATTGAAACTCATCTGCGCATACACTTACTTACTTGGATTATTTGGCAACCCGTTGTCGGCTGCGATTGCTCGTGCGCGGGTCCCAACTTCTTTTCCACGATTTTCTATCTTGAGCCAATGTTGTCCAGTGGACTGATACCTTAATTGAATTAGAATCGCAGATATTGTTTCTGTGAGCAAGAGAGTCTTGCCATCGTAGAGGAGGTCGACCACGAGGCCGTTTCTTTTCGCGTGGTTCCTAGCACACACTTGTACTCCAACGACCGTCATCGCGCCTTATCAGATGTCCAGCAAAGGTGTGTTTTGCTTTGTCGATGTGCAGAATAATATCGCGAACTTTAGACAACGAACGTATGTCTTCGTTGTGCAGCCTGTTGATCCGTTGTTGATGCAAGGTTATCCCGACCATTCGACGCTCGAGGGATATTTGTATCCTTCGTAGCTGGGTTTCCAAGTTTTTCGTCAGAGACCAAGTTTCGCTTGCGTAGCTCAGGGCTGGTAGCACCGTGGAGTTAAACAGGGTTGCTCGCAATTCCTCGTCCCTAGTATGTTCGATTACATTCCTGATCGAGTTATACGCAGCCCAGCCGGCTTTTTTCCTTCTCACCAATTCGCTCTTTAGGTCATTTTTCATGTTAAGTAGTCGGCCAAGGTACACGCATTCATCGACATCCTCCAAGAGTTCTCCTTGAAGGTAAACAGGGTTGCGATCTGAGTATTCGTTCCTCATACATTTCGTTTTCTTCATGTTGATGTTCAAACCGGCCTTGATACCAGCTGCATGTAAGTCATTTAACATTTGAGAAGTTTCATCCGATGTTCTTGAAATGAGAACTAAGTCGTCCGCAAATCTCAGGTGACTTAAATACCTTCCGTCGATTTTGATTCCTTTGGAATCCCATGCGCAGTGACGTATAGTGTATTCGAGGCATGCAGCGAAAAGGTTTGGGGAGATAGGGTCTCCTTGGCGNACAGGCGCACATGGCTTCGCTCGAAGTGCAGTCGTGCGCGTAGATGATCACTTCCAGTATTGAATGATGGGGCTACTCCGACATCTGTGATGGCTCTTCTGCTACACAGGATATGGTCTAGTTCGTGGTAGTATTGCCCATTCGGGGACTCGTAAGTCCATCTTTTCGTTGGCGCTTTACGAACTGGCTGTTACCATGAAACATGTGATGTATCTCGCAAAAGTTCGCCAGCCTCTCTCCAGCGGCGTTCCGTTGTTCAGCACAGTTTGGTTCGATAAAGCGTACCCCTGATCTTCTTCCACCAACTCGTGCGTTAAAATCACCAGATACCACTATGTAGCTGCTTTTCTGCGACCGAACGAGCTCGCCGAGATAGTCGTAAAAGTCCTCATCTTGATCGTCGGAACAATCACTGGTGGGGGCGTATACTTGAATGATAGAGACGCTGATGTCCTTGGTCAAAGTTGCGGTCAGGATACCGAATCGATGACTGTAAAATGTGACACTCGTAACTTTCTTTGCAAACTCGGGTGCCACTATAAAGCCAACTCCTCCTGATGTTGTTCCCGTCTCGCGAGCGCCGGGAAAAACCGCAGTTCCATCACTCCATGTACACGTCAAAGGCTCTTTCCGTTTCGTTTCACTCAGTACAATCACATGATATAAAATTCGTTGTGATTTTTCAATCAGGGTTGAGAGCTGAATGGCCGTTCTGACACTCCTGTAGTTATAAGTGTGATCAGGTGGCTCATTCTTGTCCTTTTCCTATGATAGCCTACGGCCCTGAGATTTCTTCGCCTTAGATGTGTGCTGATCTAGCGCTACCGGACTGGGCAGGGACAGTCTGCAGGGGACTAGGGCGAGTGGCAGAAGTGGTAGCGTTTTTCGTCTCGCAGGATAGCCTTGCTGGGCTCAAGGAGGGCGCCGTCCCACCATGAGCTTGAGCACTTCGGGTTCTTTGGTCACGAGAGCCGGTCAGAGGGTTCGGCGGGCCTCCCCTTGCGGGATCCCGGTCTCGACTCAAGCCCAAGATATCCGATTCTCGCTGAAAAAGCTGGAACAATAGATTATAAGTTGTTTCGTTGTGTTGTCTGAATGGGTCCTCATGATTTCCTTGATGAGAAATTCGCTCAGCCCCCTCCAAATGTGCCAATTTTGTTGGAGCTACCTGAAGGTTGAAACCCCTTTGTAACATGCTTTCTTAAAGACTAGCGAAAAATTATGAGACGATTAGGTATAGAGACGTGGTTAGATGTAGCTTGAGAGATATGTAAAAAAAATGCAGGCAGTGTGACATCAGATAGTCTACAAATTTAATTGTTAGGCACATTCATGCTCACTGAAGCAAAGTGACTTCGAGGTTTCTCTTTGATTACATCTTCAAAGAAAAAATCTATCTCTTGTATTATTATGAGAATCCAGAATTCTCCTGCTTCTAACTTTGGAAGCATGCTGTGCGCAAATGCGGCAAGGTAGGCCTGTAGAGCAATTGGTGGGAGAAAGGTTTTATCGATAGATTGATCATTTACTTCTTCGCTGAATGTGAGTTGTCTTCGACCGGAGTATGTGCGAGGGTCGGAAGAATTATTGACCCCTACGTGCAACAATTTACCCTCGAATCGCTACGAATCGCTTCTCTGGGAGTTTTCGGAGACTGAATCTAAGTTCCTCCAATCTTGGTTGCCCCAGCCACCACCCAAAGCGATCCCGCTCGAAATTTGATATCAACTGAAGATCGATTTTACCACTATTTTCTTTTCCATTACCCAAGCCATTCGCGAAATTCGCTTCCGTGCAGTACTTGTGGCAAACAGGGCCATCCTTTCGACACGATTGACATTGGTAGTTCGAGCCCTCATTGTCGGACCTACTGGCTCACCTGGCCCCTACACCCACGCTGCGCTCCTACAGGATGGGCTGACCAGCCCCTCGAGGATTTATGAACGGGCAACATATCCTACCAGTTCGTCCAAACCAGGGTGCCTTACTTAACCTACTATCCAAAAAACATACAAGGGTAAAAAACACTGATTCATTATAAACACGCTACGCGCTTCAATTCTACACCAGTTAGATAAACATAGGGCCGTGTGCATAACGCCTAGGGTGGGGAGCTGAGAACTAACGCGAGGAAATGTTTGCGAAGGGCGCAAACATTCAAATGGCCTTATATTCATTGGCTCTCTAACTAGATAGTGACAATGGTGCAAGCTTTTTTCCCATAAAAAGATGAAGGACCGACAGCCTTCGACAATCATGTGACGTTTGTCTCTGCGACGTTACCTTAGTAATTACACAACACACATCGTGGGTGCTATGCGGCGGCCCAATATTTCGCTCTGATCGCTAAGTATTTTCTGTACTTCTGCTCGACATCAACGGATTCACGCTTCGCTCGCCGTAGCACGTGAGCATTTTCGATCATCTTGAGTGCCACCACAAACGGTAAATCGCTGTTTTTTACTTGCTTTGTGAGTCTCAGCGGAACCTTTGCCGATCTGGAACTTTGGAGCATCTCAGCCACGTGACGCAGTGGCAGACGAGATATGACTTCCATGTTCGTGAGCAACACACTCAGACTATGGTTATTTGGTGTTTCGAACCAGAGCTTACATTACTTGTTCGCTGTTTTCAGATCCTTGTGCCTCTACCTCAACCGTCAGTTTTCAAGCGGGAAAACTTGTCTATGACTTTGTGCGATAGGTGAACGGTTTTCTCCTACATCAGGCAGGGCGGTCCACCGTCATCGCCATCAATTTTTTCGAGATCTGAGTGTTTTAGCGTATCCAAGCCATTCGAATGCTCTAAGATGAGTGGTCTAAGCAATTTGAAGCTGAAAAACAATTTTCTGAAGCTATGCAGGTTTTCGATGTCCGGATCTTGTATTGCTACAACCTCTGCTGATAATTCAGCGAGAATCTTCGAATTGAACGAAGAACGGGTGAGCGGATTTCTGGTAGTCTCACACTCAGTGGGATTCACTAAAGGAGCATTCTTTAAAGCGAGTGTCACTGTTGTCGAGCATTCCTCTTGGCGATCCGATTTACGATGCACAATGGTTTTGCGGAGGAACGACTGAAGAACTTCTAGCAACTTCAGCTAAGTACCACCCAATTCATCTCTGGAGTAGCAAAGGCAAGCGGTATGCGTCATATCGAGGAATGAACCACTTAGTAAGTGGGCTGGCAAGTTTCAGATTTTTCTGTTTCAGGGTAATCAGTTCATGCTAATATGTTGACACCTTGCTGTTAATTTATATATAACCAGTCGGATCGCCCGGTTAAGGCCAGACTCTCCTCCTCTTGTGTCGAACACCCTATCCCGAGAAATGTTGAAGTGAAGAATTTTTTTCCCTTCTTCAAAGTTTATAGATTTAAGTTTTTTCGCTGTTTTGCTGAGTTTGAGTTTCTTTTTCGCTGATTAGCCGAAAGAGATTATGAAACTGAAACAGAGCTCAAAATCTTTCTTTGACATAACAGAAATCGAGAGCTTCCCTCCTTTGATAAAATTGTAGTGAGTCTAATGCTCCACTCTTTTTTTTTTGAAACAAATGACAGTTTCCTGTACACGAAATTTGACACAGGACTAACAGGGCAGTGCAAATGGTATTCATTTAAAGTCGTTGCCTACGCCTTTGATTGGAGGTCTCGAACTTTGGCTCTTTCCTAAGAAATACATACCCATTAAAAATCCAACTGTTTGACAATCAAAGATGATGCTGTGATGTTCTGAGTGATGATGGCACCGTTGTCAGATGCTCTTTATCAATGGACCCTTTCCTTTACAGAGATATCATTAGTTGAGGATTACGGACTATAGGCGGTCGATTAGCTTTTGTCGCAAATGACATCGATCAAAGAGGAACCTTCAGTGAATCACAAACCTTGCTGGGTAGCGGTCGTAATCTGATAGTAAAAAATGAACAAAGTCCTAATCTGCCTATCGTATTGCCCTAATAGGTCCCTATCACTGCACTTACCACTCACTTTTGTCACCGTGCTCTACTATACCGTCTTATCGAATGAAACATAAGGTCAGAGCTACATCGTAGATACCGGAGATGTTGGGATTTTGGTCTGTAGGTATTTTCTCTCAGGTCCCTTATCTTCTCCTATCAGTTAAGATCAGTTCTTGTCACCGAGTACCTACAATCCCGTCATATCCCACCTCACTTACTGAAATGCTGAGTTTCCACTGTTAGTAAGAAAAGTGTACTCCTGCCAAATTTCAAACGCTCTAGGTCCACGTAAGCAGTCGTGAATTTGCGGCCCAAATTTTTATCGGGCACCTATCGCCCCCTGTGCACGGGGTCCAGTCCTGCCACCCACCATAAGTGTTGCCATCCTGTTCCCCGTATTCCTACCAATTTTGAAAGCTATAGGTCCACGGGGACACGGGTTATCGATTTGCGGCCCAAAAATTCTGTTACTTACGCCCCGCCCCTGTAGGCGGGGTTCGTTCCTGTTACCTGTCATAAGTGTTCCCATACTACCCTCCGTATTCCTGCCAAGATTGAAAGCTCTCGATCCACGGGGACAGGAGTTATATATAGTAGGATAAGAAGGATAAGTTTTATATATCACTACCGTTATCATAATCTCAAAGTAACCCGGACGGACAGACCGACATACCTACATAGCGACAAACCGACAAACAAAGTTACTGCTTTATATATAAGAAGGATGCTTGGAGTGCATGTGTGCTTGTAAGCAGTGTGTAATTTTTACTCGTGGTATGTTTGTTTGTTCAAACGGAAAGTCATAATTTCCCTTTCTGCATAGGCCGTAGGGTGTTTACGCTTCAAGGGCCGGAGAAGGTGAAATGGATGCTTCACCGTAATGATACCAATGACCTTATTCGATCGATGTCGATTGGGGGTTCTGTACAACTTACATTAAAAATCTAGCTCTTCCTACTATGAGGCGTTCAGTTTTCGCAGAGGGAGCGATAAAAACTCCAAAACAGTGATGAAGCAGTTTTTTGCGTTTCTCTTCCGCAGGAAGGCATCATGAAGAGTGTTATGTATCGGTGTACGGGAAGTATCCGTCGAAAATTCCGCAATATTACAGGTTTTATTGGGATCTACTAGGAGCTTACATGGAGTTTTATGAAAAAAAAANAAAAAAAAATTACCTCGCCTACACTTCTAACATGCCCGGCGTTCTTACTTGGTCAACCATGTAATTATCAAAAAAATCTGTCTACCCGTATACAATACGTCCTTCTTGTCGACTTATAATAATCTCCCGTGATACACATTGAAATCTGTGACAGGCATTTGTTCTTAAAGCACTTCTGAGCAGATTTCTACACATTCGTCCAACGTTCGCAGAAACAAATTTGAAAGTGAACCTCAATCTGTAAAATCCACACAAGTAAGTGATATCCCCTTCCAGTATTTCTATGGCTGCTTCCATAAAATTCCGAGAGATCTGAGCTGTCATGAGGTGGTCGGCAGATGCTTCCGCTAAAGCTTATGATTTGAAATTTCTCATTTGTTCTGCTAATAATGGTGGAAATGGTGGTACGAGCGTTCTTGTGGCAACTGGGGCGCAGCCTACGCTACCATGATTATTGGTTGTACCACTTCAGAAGACGTCTAGAAAGCAGGCCTGTAAACAATTTTATATGTTGGCGACGTAGTGCTCGCGTTTAAAGAAACAATGACTCGAGGAGCAGGTCCAATTTTAGTCGAATCATTTGGCAAAATTTGACATGTTTATGTTCTCTTCTTCTTGTTGTTATTTTTGTCCATCGTCCTCTTCCTAATCTCTGTCTACAATGTTCATACATCTTTCGACTTCACTAGCCTCAGTCGTGGTTATACAAACCCCTTAATTAGCTAGGCATTATTGAGGCTGAGGGCCAACCTTTCACCGACAACTAACCGTCTTGTATCGGCCCGTATCACGCACGAATGTCGCCCCGCCCCTGCNCCCCCCCCCCCCTCTCGGTTAGTGAAACAGGAAATGCCAGCTGAATCGCCGCGGTTTCACACGCATTAGAAGTTTATTCATCACCATGCAACAACAAGTTAATCCTACCATTGAAAAATAAGAATAAAGAGCAACAGGGATGAGGTAAAAATACCATGTAGCCCTAAACGTCTGTCTCGGTTGAGCACCGGCAGCTACTCATACCCTGTGTCAGCCCAGGATCCCATCGATTGTTTGAAACCAAACCCGTTTAAGAGGAGAAAATACCCTTTTGAATACCAGATTGCGAAAACTGCACTCCGTTTTATAAATAGCAGCAGTACCTCGCAGTTTTGTAAAGGTGCTATTGTGCTCCAGAGGCACAGATCACGATAGAAATGGTTCATGAGAAACATCACTGGTGAATCTGTGACTTCCAGTATGCCGTAGGTGTCGCTGTCAGATTGGTGAATGGCCTGATAGATCATTATGAGGGCTTAGAGATTGCAACAGCTGAATAACGCACCCATAGCGGACGAGTTCCAACGGCGTTATAGTGAATGCACTATTTCAACGTACTGCCATGAAAGTTCAAACAATCTGTCATGACCAAAGGGCTCATGGCGACAGTGGAAGGAGTTTTGGACAACTTCGGCATCATGTAAATAGCCCTTTGCGCATTGGAACACCTGGAATTTCGTCTGAATCCTTTTCCATGCAGTTTCCGTCATTCCATGGCAATTTCGTACAATCTCTATTCCACTACCTTTGACAGCCTTATTTTTCGCGGAATAGGCGAATTTTTCACTTTCTTTGGCACCGATGCTCCACTCTACATCAACACTTACGTTTTCAACTCAAAAAGGGTACCTCAAACTCACTGTGAACTGTATCTTGAAATCTCGATCTCGAAAACTCTATTTTACCTAATACATACAAGTTCAACTTTTCTTCGTTTCTGTGCAGTTTCTTGAATCACGCAACTATCCGAGGATCTCGGAAATATTTTGAAATTCAACTCCCAGGGGACGATGGGAGTAATCCTTCAAAATCCGTTGTTGTCAGCTTTACCACTCTACATTTTGTGTATGTATAGAGCCCATTCCCGTATGGTTTCAGAGCTTTGTCGGATTCATCTTTTCCGGCTTTGACGCTATGAAAGTTCAAGTTGGTTAATGCTGTTTAGTTCTCAGATATTTAGGACGAACTAACTGCGGCATATTCTATTGCCTTCTCCAATAGCGGTACGCGATTGTACGGTGGCCATCGTGCGCGTATTTGGATTTGGGACATTGAAAGGCCAGGTCGACAGCACACTACAATCGAGACCTGGGGTAAGTCTACGTTATACTTCTTCGAATTTCTGCATACCTCGAAAGTTATCTTTGCGAATGCAAGTTCCTTTATACCAGATTTAAACAATCGAACGGTCTTTACTGGGGAATTTCCGATGGGCAAGGGAATGTATCAGGTTGATGCATTTATTTTTTCCCTGTATTTAATCCGTCCATATTTCGTTCGTTTGCATGGATGTTGTCATCATTGAATGATACTTTTTCATCACACTAGCAGATGCTTTGAGGTCGGGTCGGTCGGAGTTTGATTTGGAAGTATTACGCTCCACCGTGGAGGAGAACCCGTACCTGATCACCAGGGAAGCGGCGATCATGTTCGGCTATAGTCAATTGACAATTGTGCGTGGGCTGGAACAGCTCGGCAAGGGAGCAAAACTTAGCGATGGTTCCTACATGAACTGTCCGCTTACGACCTCTCGAAGATGGTGGCCACATGCACTTCTCTCCTCTCTTTCTAATAAAAGCACCTCTTTCTCAACTCGATAAACTCTGGAGATGAGAAGTGATTCCTCTACGGTGGGAGGAGGCGGCATTGGGTGGACGAAAGGGATCATCCAGAAGCCACCTTAAAAGGCAACCTTCACCTCTCAAAGGTTATCCTGTCCCGTTGTTGGTCCAGAAGAGGCAGGAACACTGATAGCTGCTGGCAAAGGGATTAACGCTTCCACATACGTTACCCAGCTGCGGAAATTGAGAGATTACGCCGACCGTACTCGTGGGTCAAGTGCGAAACCATCATGGCAACGCCCGATCTCACACCGCAAAGACGACAGATGACGACATGTCTGCTGTACTGGTCTGTTGCATAGTCGCAGATTTGTTTCCTTCAGTCGTACAGTGTTTGACGCCAAGAAAATTGCAGAGATGTGGTTAGAATATAGTTGTAAATGTAGCGATCAGTAATGGCAACTGATTTTGATTAGTTTAGATTTGCACTACTCGATATGGGGCTGATAGAGACTATTCAACCTTCGGAAAAATTGGGAAGGAGGAATAATACGCGTCATCAAGACATTTGAACCTTAACATTAGAAGGGAGTCGGAGTCTTGCATTACCATTCGAATCGTTCGGCCCGTCGTCCTCCAGGAGGTCCGACTGGTATCTTTTCCCTACGGGCATATTGTTAGCCGAGATTCCCTTATCATTTAGGATAAGTGATGCTACAGAGGATATTGAAATAAAAAAAACCATGACCCTTCATTAAGTCCCAATAATTGCTGGATAGCGGTCTTAACTTAATAGCAAGAAATGATCCCAATTTTCATTTCTGATAGAGTTCATCGATCCACTTCACTTTCACTAAGCCCACTACCATTTTTTGTCACCGCACTTTACCACCACATCTTATCGAGTGGACCATACCAGAGAGTCAACGCCACTTTGAATACCGAAAATGTAAGGATTTTGATTGGTCGGTGGTTCTTGCTCTATAGGATCCTTTATCAGCTCTTATCAGATGTTATCAATTCCTTTCGCCAAGTACCTACAATCCGGTCACATCCTACATCATTTTGTAGAATTCCTGGGTTCAACCTTTGATACGAGAGGCTTCACAGACCTAGGAGCTCTCGTCTCCTTTGGCTCGTTATCAGTCGCTATCCATCTCTGTCACCAATAATCTACGGTCCCTTCACATCCCACGACACCTACTTAAGTGTCAGGGACAAGATCCCATTGTCGACACGAAAGGCATTTCAGACCCAATGGCTCTTGTCTTCCATGGCTACCTGCCAGCCTTTACCACTCAATACTGATACTTGTCATCAATCACCTACGGTCCCTTCATATCTCGCACCACCTAAAGGCTGAAGCTCCTTTGTTATTACGAAGGGCATTATGAGCTAGTGGTTCTCGCCTTTTATGGCTCGTTATCGGCTCGTTTTCATCAACCATCAACGAACATCTACGGTCCCCTCTAATCCCACTTCACCTTCTAAAGTGCAGAGGCTCCACCATTAACACAGAATTGCGCTCTCGCCTCCCTTTTATCAGGTCCTATCAGTTGTTATCAATTTCTGTCACCTACCGCCGCGTCACCATTTGCGACCTGTATCCTTTGCTATTTGAACGCTCCACGTATAAGGGAATTTATGAATATCCGGTCAAACACACACACCGGCAATCCAACAGACACACTCAACGAATTATATATAGTACCAGTCGGGCCGCCCGGCTAAAGCCGGGCTTCCCTGTTTCTTATGTGTTCGCCCGGCTACGTCGGGCGCTCCTCCTTCCTGTGAGAAATTTGCTGTGCGTAAATAACACTTCGGATTCTCTTTTTTCTTTGAAAGCTCTACACCCTCAATATTAGCTCCGGATTTGGAGCGATTTTTTCTGTAAGCCAGCTTCGCTGTGTCCGAATAGAACATCGTATAATATCACAAAGGCGATTATTCAGAGAAAAAAATTATTCAGAGACTTCATCGCGGCTGAGGCTACTATGTTAGCTACCATCAATGTTTCCACCCAACTCCTTGTGCCTTCAAGTTTCAACGGTCTGGTCCGAACGAACAGTATCTATTCACGCCCCGCCCTTCGGGGCGGAGTTTAGTCCTGCAACCTATCATCAGTGTACCTATCCTGCCTCCCGTTTTTCTGCCAAGCCGCTCTAGGTCCATTTTGACATTTCTCTGCAAGCCCTGCCCTTGAGGGCGTGACACCCACCGCAAAGATTCCCATCCTGCCGCCTGTAACCCTACCGAATTTGAGCACTCTAGGTCCACGGGACAGGAGTTATGGTTTTCCGCTCCAACCCCACCCACTGTGGGCGGGTTCAGGTCCTGCCCCCCCCCCACCATAAGTATTCGCATCCTGCCGCCTGTACTTTTACCAAGTTCGAGCGATTAACCCATTGGCGACCGCGCGTTTTTAGCGTGTCTGGCGTGTGGGACCGAGCGCGCTTTTCGCGGGCTGCTGCTGTGGCCCGCTGGCGGGTCACACGGTCCCAGAAGCAAGTAATTTTTTTCGTAAGCATTTCCAGCCGACAAAAAAGTTTTTTAAATGTGGTATGTAAAGGTTACAAGTCATACGCACTATCTAGAGCTACGTTATGACATCTAATGTTGTTTCTGATTGTTCGAAGAGAGGTGAGAGTTTTTACCAAATCATTTCAAAATGCGATTCTGTCTAGACACGAGGATACAGGTGAGAATGGCATGTTTCAAATCATCGGTTACCCAGCAAAGTCCCTTTACATCCTTTTTGCACCTTTTTACAACCTTTTTTACAGCCTTTGGTTTTCTTCCTTTACCAATGCCGTCGGGAGTAACTTTGTTTTCTCTTATTACTAAAGTCAGAAGTAAACGTTTCACGGACCACTGCGCGTCAAGATTCTATAGTAGGTCGTAAACCTGCTTGATACTTGAAAGGGTCAAAAAATCGAAAATGAATGTTATACATACAAAATAATACTGTGGTCCCAGGAGCACGACAAGGCGTGGCTCGTATACGGGCCACGCGGTCGTCAATGGGTTAAGATCCACGGGGACAGAAGTTATGACTTTCCGGTCAGACACACACACCGACACACACACAGAAACAAACAAACACACCAACACATACACAAACACACAAACACACCGACACAACAACAGACACATTTGCGAATTATATAAACTAGGATGATTCTTTATCAATTCAAAGTTTTAGAGGTTCTGTCTGTATTATTGACATTGTGGTTCAGGGCTTCTCTCAGAGTATTCGAACGGATCAACCACTAGCAATCAATACCGAGTTACAACACATTCTCACCTCATATTGCATTCCTTCTCTCTTCGTTCATCAGGGTTCAAAGTATGAATTCTTTGTAATAAGATGAAAATTCTCTCTCTGATTCATCTTCGCCTCAAAATCCCTTTCACATATCCACTCTTCAAAGAAAGCTCTCCGTAGGAAAGTACGGATGAGTGAATAGGCTCTCCTCCTACTGGTGGACACAGCGCCCAGAGAACGCTTCTCCGCCTGATTCTCTTGGCAAAAAAAAAAATTTGTTGACATCTGTAACCCGTTTTCTCATAGTTTATTCCTTAAAGCCTTATAATTCTGCTTTTGAATTACTTCACATTTCTTGATTATCTTTCTTGTGGACGGCTCATTAAAGGCCCGAATTACGACAATTTTTGGGCATCCGGCTTCCGACGGATAGTGAAGTGATTGTCCAAAACAGTGCAAAAAAAGACGAAGGAAGCGCGAGAATAGGCGTGACTGAGGAAATACCATGGCTCAAAAAAGTAGAAAAACAGAGACTTGGATCAGTTTCAGACAGTTTCTGGGAAAATTGCGTGAAAAAGGTTTTTGGGCGAGCTGGCTGTAATGTGTTCAATTGCGTGCGGCAAGCTATGCATGCAAAAATGATTTTAATAGGGTCAGCATACTTCAATTCAATGTCTATCAAAAGGATACCAGGTCGCAGTTACCATTCAAGATGAGATGTATACCGACGTAGGTAGTTTCGAACGCTGATCTCAAGTCTGGGTTCCAAATCTGCGAAACGGTTCTGGGAACAAAGTTACGGGCTCCCCTTCCCCAGGTGTTATGCTTACTTTGTTGCTTTTATAAGAGAACCAAGCTGTGCTTAAACATGAACAAATGGCGCAGTTGGGAGGACGACGGACTGCTAGCCATGACACGGAGGTTCGAGTTCTTGACACGTCCGCTTGTTTTGCTTTTTCATAAAAAATTGTTCTGAACTCTTGCAATACCCTTTTAACATCATACGCACTACCTACAGCCCTCCCTCATATTTATGGAACACAAGAAATGGTAATACAATTATATTTTTTCGTCGGTTCTGCAGACCGAATAATGAGGGGTGCACATAGAACGCTTCCGCTCCCGGCACTCAAGATGTGGTTAAGAAAACAATAGCTCTATACACCTCCAAAAGAGGGCTGTCGGATGACTCGTCAGGCTGAAGCGCTTTCGAACGAAGTGATGCCTCTTTATGGGTAGAAGTGAGCTGGTGCAATTCAGTTTCATTTTTATGCAAAATTACCATCTTAACTATAGGTGAGCATTTTATGAACAGGTATGATAATCTAACACAAAGTCATTGGAGCAGAAAAGCTTCTCACAATGTGAGCAACGCATGAAAGAAAGTTCACCCACCCGTAACTCTCACAATTCCCTTCTACGACATCCCACAGGAACTCCAAATTCTCCCAGGTCCCTATCCAGGTACCCTAATGCAAACCATGAGTAAGGAAGAAACTCCTTGAATCCAGGTGCTCACTCAACACTACACTAGTGAGATAGTTGTGTTGGAGTTGCGGTTGCTAACGTGGAAGGCCAGATCATGAACAACTACTGAAGGGACAGTACACTTGTATATGGCTTCAAGTAGTGAGAGAAAAATACATCGAAATTCGCAACTTGAGAAGCTGTGTCAGATGGAATGTTGGGCACTTTCACCTCCTTGATAGTTGGCAAAGCAATCTGAGTAGCCTCATGGTTCCTTAACGAGCTCCATGAGTCGACGACAAGTAGGGTTGAAGCCAAACCTCTTGAGCAACGCTTGATCTGACCCCATTAAGCCTAAACTCCTTGCTCATCATGTGGGTTGTATTGGCCCTGACTTTAGATGCCGGGAGCGGATGCGTTCTATGTGCTACCCTCATTATTCGGTCTGTAGAACCGACGAAAAAATATACCTGTATTACAATTTCTTGTGTTCCATAAAAGTGAGGGAGGGCAGTAGGTAGTGTGTATGATGTGTGAAAGGGTATTGCAAGAGTTCAGAACATTTTTCATGAAAAAGCAAAACAAGCAGACGTGTCAA